CATACACACACACACATATATATATATATATATATATATATATATATAAATAAAATTGTACATATAAATTCATAAATATTATTATTAGAAAGTGATTTTCTCCCCATCTCATGAATGTGGTAAAAGCATGTACTGCCAGGGATTCTTTCAAAACATCAACAAACTCTACAGGGACCAAGTAAGGCTCCTGTGGGACCTCTTGTTTTTCAAAGTGCAGCTCAGTGTTCTATAAAAACACATTGAAGTTCAGCAAGATCAAGATCTTTGCATTCTGCCCCACTGAACAGAAGTGCTGCCAAACAAGTCAAATGCTGATGCCTATCACAGCTGGACAAACCATCACACTCAAAAGCTGCACATCTAGCATGAGGGTCTCATATTAAAGGCATATATAAAGGATACACTACTGTCCATAGAGAAGGTTAATGAGTGCTTATTACCAATTTGAAACTTTAAGCGAGAAACACTGGAACAGTGAATCTCCTATTTGTAGCATGTGAGAGTGAACTATGCGAAAATTATTTGGTATCACTGGCTTCAGCTGCTCCAACAAATCAAGTTCAGATACCATCAGCAGGAACTTACTAAACCAGGTGCCATGGTAAAGCAGAGAGGAAGAGGAAGCCCGATGCAAATCAGAGGTCTCTGGGCACAATGGGGCGTAGAAAGTCCTGAGGTGACTGGCCTCAGATAATGGAAGTCAAAAATTTCATTTCACATCCTGCCAGGGCCAAAACCCAACCCTTTACACAACGCAGAGAGAGTAATGACAGTGGAATGATCACGTCATTGACAACAACTCTTCATCCAAAAACTAGAGGAGTGTATGTTCAGGCATATTTCACCTGTGAGCATAACTAGCACCATGGAGATCGAAAACAAATAGAAATTTCACAGAGACAATCACACCATTGTACCTCAGCCTATACAGTACAAGGAACCGAGAATGGTAACGTGACAATAGCGTGTGGATTCACAACCCCTTTAACAGGTTTGAGACAATGTAGACGACTGTTCGCTTCAAATGCCTATTACAATAAACGCAGTCTAACCTAATTGGAAAACTGTGACAGAATGATGTATCTGAAATGTCAGACCACTCTTGTTCTCAGCAAGACAGCAAAATGCTCTTGAGGAAGGAGTACATTATATAAAACAAAAGTTCTGTCACAGCTTAATTAAATTTTTTAATGCGTCACTTCAAACAAGGAGAAATACATTTCACAGCTTGTATTCCCCAACCCCCCATTAATTGCGGAATGCAAATGAACCCATTTAAACAAATTTGGTTACATTTGTGATCAAAATGTTTTTCTAAGGGTCTAAAAACTATTTCTCATATATTTTATTCAGAGTTGTCAACTGTAAATGAAAGCACAGACTGTCTTGAGTTCATTTTTAGATGGCTGTTGTAAACAGTCACATGACCCAAGCGGTTCAATTCCAGTTTAACTCTCTAAAAGAACATTTCTGTGTTAAAGCTCCATAAAAAGCATTTAAAATGTCAGAATTCAAATTATGTAACATTATGATCGCTCAGCCTCATAAAAATCAGGATCAAAGGAATCATAAACATGTAATATTGTGACCAGAAGGAAACGGTCCCATATTGAATAAGTAACTTATTGATTCACCTGATGAAATTTTAGATTTCAAAGTACTCTTACATTAAATTATCCCCCTCATAGCCGCCTAGTCTAAAAAGTTCAATTATTGATTGCAAAGTTCTCTTGGGTCTTATTGAGTAATTTCAGCATTTACAGTCGTGACAAGAATAAAGCACACTTTAACATTTGTGATTAAATAGGTTAATTTAAACCCGCTAGAAAGAGTTAATTTTGCTCTAAGGAAAGTAAACTATAATCATGAACTAGCCTATTCTAATATGCTGATTTGGTGCTCAAGAAACATTACTTACTATTATGCTGTTAATATCTTTGTGGAAACCGTGATACAATTTATAGCAACTTATAAACTATAGCAAAGGAACACAAAACTATGCGCTGTTAAAATATTGTAAACAAAGCCGCACAATCATCACGTCATCGTGTCCTAGTACAGTACAGAGGCGCGCGCTCATGTCACACGGGCTCACGTTCACGTCTCAATCACTAATAATGTTGCGCTCACATTCAAGGATATTGCCTGATGAGGTTGTCGATTTCCACCGCATCAGGTCCTTGCTGGTCGGCAGCCTCATCGTGGTCGTCCACGAATTTATTCTCGTCGAATTCATCAATGTCCACCTTTCTGAAGCGCGAAGACAGCGTGTTTTTGGCCATCGGGACCAGTGTCACTCACCAGCGGTCCCGTGCGCTGGAACAGTTTCTGTGCTCCGAGGGGAGATTTCAGTCTCTAGTTAGAGTCGGCCTCTGGGACACCACATTGAAGCAGATCCAAAGATGGACGAGCTGATTAGTCAAAGTGGGTTGCGTTTAGTGTGTTATGCCGCCACACACCAGCACATGAGCTGTTTCAGTGTACCGATGCAGAGCCGCATATTTAGTATGAAAGATATGATAGCTAAGCTAGAGTACTACTGCCACCTGCTGAGTGGGTGCGTACGAGAGCATTTTACAGTTAAAGGGACAGTTCACCCGAAATTCTGTAAACATAACTGCACACACTCACCCAAACGTTCTTATCTAGTTACTTATTAAAAGCATACGTTTTCAAAAATGAACATAACTGCTTCAAAATTTTTGTTTTGGGTATGGATGTGTGTAATTTACATTGTAGAACAAAACGCCAAAGTATCGTCAAGTTATGTTTATCACAGGCTTTATTTTACTCATAAAAAAAGAAAAAAAACATTATAAAATCCCATAGGAAAATCTCAAAGGAACCCGCAGCAAATTACTCTTCTTGATTCTGACATAGTCCCCCCAATTACGAATATAGCTCAAATTTATGAATACAGGAGCTAAAAACCAGTTACTATATTCACTTTGTATCTTTTTTTTTTTCACAACCAAAGTCATCAATTACTTTGTTTGCATCATTGTTTCCATGCCATGAAAGTGAGTTCTGCCAGTTTGCCCCTTTAAGTAACGCAGAGAGCTATATTTCACCTTCCTATTCCACATTGAAGAATATTTTTGGACTGAAGTTTATTTTTAGTTAGTGAACATATTTGTTTTATTATATTTGTCACAATTGTAACTTGTGTGTCTAATTATGATCGTTATTTTTATGACACAGACAGAGCAATTGTCCTTTTAAATATTATATTTTAAATTAAGTAATACTAGCACTTACCTATTCTATTCTATTCACTCTAATTTATAAAAAAAAAAAAAAAAGAAAAAAAACCTTGCTATGTGTACTGTGCTAGAAGGTGAGACTTGTCACAGCACTTCTATACTGTTGCTCTCTGATTGCTTCTATTGTTCTCCTCATTTGTAAGTCGCTTTGGATAAAAGCGTCTGCTAAATAATTAAATGTAAATGTAAAATGTATATTTATCAAATAGCGTAGTTATATGTGTATTATGACATCTTTTTAGATGCTTCTTTTTATGGAGCTTGTTTGACACAGACACAAACATGTAAACGTGAAATCAAAACAATCCTTACATTTATAGTTGATAACTCTGTGTAAAATACACCATCAATTGTTGACAGCTCAAAATAAGTTTCGGTCTCAAATGTAAACGTGTTGTAATGTGGCGTTTGACCGCTAGAGGGAGCTGTACGTCACTTAATTCTGACTGAGTCTGCGCAGCCGTTTGTCTCCGCCATATTGAATTGCTCAGGAACATACTATTGCACAGAAGTGATCACAGTCTTTAATCGAAGACCGGTTCTAAAATTCATGTTGATATATAATTATTTTTTTTACTTAATTAGCGTTTTTAAGTTAAGTCTGATTTGTAGTGTTTGCTGTATAGAGAGCAATGGGGAAGAGGTATTACTGCGACTACTGTGACCGCAGTTTTCAAGACAACCTGCATAACAGAAAGAAACACCTAAACGGCGTCCAGCATCACCGGGCGAAAAAAGCCTGGTTTGACAACTTCAGAGGTACTCACTGAAAACTTCACAAAGCAGTAGGAGGCTATTAAACAATTCATTTGAGATAAATCACGTTTTTATTTTTTATTTTCAGACGCCGCCACAGTTTTAAATGAAGAGCGGTCAAAGGAGCCCTGCAGAAAGTTTCTCCAGACAGGTGAGGGATTTGTCAGAGGAAGCCGCACCGCTGTGTTGCTTCTTTAGTGTAATATAATTTCTATTATGAATCTGATAAGTTTGTTTTTTCTCTCTTGCTGTCTTTCAGGACAATGCGTATTTGGTACAAGCTGTCGTTTTTCACACATGTCTGAGAGACATATGAAGATGTTGGAGCAAAATATTGATGGTGAGGCGCTACAGCTGTGAGCAGCAGCTTTCTTACACCTTCATCTTATAATGTCTTTAGATGTGTAATTGATCTTTAAGTCATAGTTTACTGAGATATCAAGCTTAAAGGGTTAGTTCTAGAGCCTGTCCGATATGGGTTTTTGGGGGGCCGATACCGATATTAGGGAATAAAACAAGACCGATACCGATATATCGGCCAATATTCTTTATGTGTAGGCTATACAGTATTGTCAAAAGTTTGGACACACTTCCCATTCGTGTGTCCAAACATTTGACTAGGCCTATGCAGTGGAGGCAGGGTATTTAACAATTTAACAATAAACTTTATTATTCAAAATGAGTCTGACATCAGTGCACTTAACAGTAAACTTCACTTCACTTATTATAAATAACTTAAATAACACAAATAGAACAAAATACATATAACTTGAATTAAGAAATTAAACAAGGTAACTGTGTAGAGCACGCAAGCTAGTGCCAAACCAACAGGGACAGGTTTATGCAGGAAGCACAGCTTTTCCAAATGTAAACATCTAAAATGAATAAATAATAATAATTAATCATATTTTTTTTCACAAACTCTGTGTTGTGTATTTTCTGGTAATCAAATGAACATGCAGAACATTCGTATTTAAATCGTTGTTTAATATTCACAATATTCACAGACACAGTCTACTTTTCAATCTGCTACGTTACTGACTGTACTGACAAACTATGCTGACGCACCATGTCTGTGCCGCAACAGGACGCGACAAAGCGACTGTTGAAAATCATTTGAACTTTGTGTCAGCACGTCATAAATAGAACGAGGCATCAGTTT